TTTCTTTATAGTATTAAGAGTTGTCTTCTAGATAGTAACTCTTTGTTTTTTTTTACATCTTTTTCTTGGTGTTAATTATTATAGAGCGCAGCTGCTTTAATAAATTCTTCTAACTCTTAACGATTTTATATGTAGGTAAATTTATCTTTAATTCTATTCTAGAGTTCTTTATAGAAAATGTAGTAAAGCGTTTTTTAGTTAGTCTAACTGCATATAGCTAGTTATTTGCAGAATCTTACTACATAGTAATAAACTGTCTCTTTTTCTTAGCAGAAACAGTTTATTTTGTTAGCAGCTATAGCCTCTTCGTTTACTAAACTATATATTATTATAAGTGCTTTGTTAAAGGTTTAAATGCTTTTAAATATCCTCTTTATTTCTTCTTTTAAAAGTTAACTATATAACTAATAGTTTCTTTAGTTATTAGTGTAGAGCTAGAACTAAACTACTAGCGCTTTATCTAGATAGATGCCTATTTAATTTATTATCTTCTTATTAGTCTAAAATGCTCTCTTATTATATTCTATATAAAAGTAGCAGTAGGAGAAGAAGAGTTTAAGGTCTCTTAAGTTACTAATAAAAGGCTTAAGTAGTGCTAGACAAAGCGCCTTTTTTACTAAGATACTAGCTTGTTTATTAATCTTATTATAAAGAGTTACTACCTTAACTTATAATGCACTTACTTACCTTATAAGCTCTTATTTACTAATAGCTACACTATGCTTCTAGACAGAGCTACGCTAACTATTAAAGTGTTGTGTAAGAGGATTTAGAGATTTATACTTTCTAGAGGTAGCAATTAATGTTATGTTATTTACTTATAGATAATGCTAAGCTAATAAGGTTAGACACAGCTAGTAAGTATGCAGGCTACAGAAGGAGAAGAGGTAAAGTTAGTGTTAAAGAATAGGCAGAAGAACAGGTGTACAGGCTACTTTTCTAACTATTTAGGATTATTAGAATAAGCTACTTAGTTTGCCTCTAAGCTGCTGTATAAGAAGTAAGGGGAAACAATTTTATATAAAGATAATAAAGAAGTTTTAGATAGTATAAGTGTCTTTAGAAACTACTTACTACTACTTAGTCTATAAAAGACTAAATGTTAATTACACCTTTTTTAATAATAGCTAAGATTAAAACTATATACTTTTAGTTTACATGTTGTGCATGCAGTGCGTGCACTGCAATCACTGTATAACACATTCGCCTAACAACTAATCAGACTTATTCTATTTTAGTGCCTATTCTAGGCTGACCTGGATGGCTAGGCCACGTGACATCTGTTGTGCGAACTGATACGCTTTCTATTATTAGTTGTCCTAGTGCTTGATACGCGTTTCCATGTTGACCAACGTCTACTTAGTGATCGTAACACCCTTTTAGAGCAACATGCTATAGCTATATACGTCTCTTAAAAGATATATACATAACTAACTCGCTAGATAACCTTTATAAGCTAATTTTATAGCTAACTTATAAAAGCTAGATAATAACAAGAAGCAGGTAATTATTAAGTGTATACTTAAGCTATAGTACTAGGACAAAAGTTTAGTTTGCTAAGTCTCTAACACAAGGTTAGAACATTTTAAGCGCAATTATTAACTAGTAATAACTTAGCAACTATATAGTTAATTAAGCTAGTTTTTAGAGTTTTAGTGTTATAATATACTTAATATTTTGTTTAATACCCCTGCGCGCGCTATACAGCCTGTAGACGCTAAGGCCTACTGTATATAAGCTTTTTAATGTATAAACTAGAGATGCAACACTATGCCTCTTTTAATGCAGTGTAGCACCTCTCTTACTTTTCTATAGAGTGTCTAAGAGTATTAAGCTTAAGGCAAAGCTTATGTATAGTTCTTTTTAGTTACTACTACATGTGCTTAATAAGGTTAAGGTCTAGTAAGTAGAGTAGAAAGTTAATAATATTAATTTAATACCTAGCTATCTACTTGCGCGTATAAATAGCAGAACAGATTTGCACATTATTCTACAGAAACTAATCTCTGTAATAATAGTTACGTAGAAGGCTTTTCTCTAGCGCTTAAGTATAGCTGTGCGCTAAATATCCTCTACACAGCGCGTTAGAGTCTTGCTTTATAATAATAAGTAGGCTTCTTTATACACGCCTTTTTTTGTTAATCTAAATTAAGGCTTACACTATTTATTAGTAAGGTTTACTTATAGAATGCTTTTTCATTATCTTAGGTCTTTATTTCTTATATAGGTACTGAAATGCCTACTGTTAACTAGCACTAGATATAAGCTAAATAAAACACTTATTAAAAAAGTATATAGTCTATATTTAAACGTTAAAGCTTCTTTACCTCCTCTTCTAGTTGCAACGCAGCGCTGCTATAACTTAAGTTATAAGAGGCCTTCTTTTATACTTAAACTCTTTTAATTATTTAATTCTTAATGTTTTATAAGCAGCCTTTCTTAAAATGCGCCTAGTAAAGCTAGTTTTTTAAAGAAAATTTAAGTATTAAATTTTTATACTTTTTTAAAAGTATTAATAAAAGTGCTAAATGTCTCTATATATAAGCTTTAGTAGCTGTCTAGAGTAAGAGTGTAATTAGTTAGTGTTTGTTTTAAGGTATTAATTAAGAGTGTTGCGTATGTACTTTATTATGCACCTAAATTTATTAGCTAACTCTGCTGCAGCTGCGCTAGCCTCCTACTTTAAGATAATTAGATTCTAAGCACTTATAGATAATTCACTCTTTCTTACGCAATTCGCGCTTATTTTCTACCTAAAAGAAGGTCGCTGCATAGTTGTGTAGTTAATAGTTAAAGATGCGTTAAATTGCTAAACATTGTAATAGCGTAGGCAAGACAATAGATCTAAATGCGGTAGGAATCCACGTAGAGGCATATAGAAGTGCGTGGGGACTTAATAACCTAGGAATACAATTAACACATATAAGCCTTACACAAAAGAATATTAGAAAACTACTAAGCTAGGTACAGAGAAGGTGCGACTAAATACTTAAGGGAATAGAGGTAACAGCAGAGGCAGGGCCAAGTTAGGGTTAGAGCTGATACAGGGACATTTTAGATAGGTTCTAGAGAACCTAAGATGGAACAATTCATAAGAATTGTTACAAACATAGTGCTAGTAGCTTAGCAAGCTAAACTTTTGTCCTGTAGGTATATATATACAAGGATTTTCCTCTTAGCTAGCGGCTATAGATAATATATCTAATTCTTTACACGCTAAGTATAATCTAGGCTATGTAAGTATAAACTAGCCTAGTATATTTATAAAGTGTTATCTAAAGCTTAAAGTAAAGTTTTAAGTATAAGTATAGTTAGTAGATATCTAGCTTATTATAAATCCTCTTTTGTTAAAGTTGTATGTGTTGTTATCCTAGATTCTATACTTAGTTTTAATATTCTCTATAAGGCTAAACTAGCTTTAAATTACTTTAAGATTCTTATAAAAAGCTTTTTTTATAGTTATAGTTATACTTAAACTTTATTTTAAGCTTTAGATAACACTTTATAAACATACTAGGCTAGTTTATACTAACATAGCCTAGATTATACTTAGTGTGCAAAGAATTAGCTATATTAGCTATAGTTGCTAGCTAAGAGGAAAATTCTTATGTATATAGCTTAAGTATATGCTTAATAATTACCTGCTTTATATTATTATCTAGCTTTTATAAGTTAGCTATAAAATTAGCTTATTAAAGTAGTCTAGTATATTAGTTATTTATTATTTTTTAAAGGACTTTAAACATAGCTGTAGCATGTTGCTTTAAAAGTATTATGTTTTATTTAAAAGTCTACAGTGTAAGCTATATCTAACATTCTTTTAGCATGTCTACTTAGTATTATTAGAAATATATTAGTGTAGGAAAAGTAGTTTAGTAGAGTCTTAGCAAAGGTAAGTAACTTAGGTGTGTAAGCAACTTACCTGTAGTGTGTAATAAGGTAGGCGCCCCCCCTGCCAAGCCGATACTATACGACTTCCCCCTCTGTACTAAAAGGTACGCACGAGAATACTTAAGCTAAGTATTCTCGCATAGTATAATATATATATAGGTAATGCTAAGGTAAGCACTAGCACTAGCGGTTGTCTCTAGCCTAGCCTAAACCTCTATAAGCAAGAGAAAGCCACGTGGTTAACTGTGCCGACCTTGTTACATCGTGTATGTTAAAAGTAAAAAGGTTCTTTAGCATTTTTTTTATTATATATTATAGTTTTTTAATTTAGACTAAAGAATTTTCTTTATTTAAAATTTAGCTTTTTTAAATTACTATAAAGGTTAAACATATTAAATAATTTTTATTAGTATCTTATAAGTTAAGTAGTAAATACATTGTTAATTATAGTATAAGATGCTAAAATGTTGTTCAAGTAGACTATTTACTTGTGTAGACTATTTGCATATGAAATACGTTTGTAAATAAAGCTAATTACTAACTCTATAACAATATTAAAGCATTTATAAAAGCTAGAAAGACTACATAACCTATAGCTAGTATATTAGAGTAGGTGGTTAATAATTAATTAATTGTTAAAGTAGTAGAACTATTATGTAAGTTAAATTACAAAGGCAAAGCTATTAGGCTTCCTATACCTATAAGATACGTTATTAGTATGTTAACAATACAAACTGTATACATGTAAGGCTGCTAGTCCTTACAAAGGATAGTAGACTGCAAGGCTGGAAACGGCTTGTACTATAGTCCTTACGCTCGACAGGTATATATATACTATTCTGTACGCAAATCAACTGTTCGTTGATTATTCACACTATTTAGTTGTATTAGCGCAGTTGTACAGAGCTCTGTCCTTACAGTACAACTACAAGAATATTCTTCCTATGATATTAAAAATACAATTAAGTATATATAAAAGGTAGGAGGAGAAGTCTTACAAAGACTAGCTGCAACTCTCTTTAATATTCCAAATCTCTAACTATTAGCTCTTGTAGTCCATCTTATACTATAAGTTACAAGATTGCTGTTGTTAAAACAATCTTGTCATCCTAGGTTTCAGTGTGAGGTTGGACGTTGGAATAGCCATCTATTGTGTTTGTGTCGGTTGTAGAGATAAGGCGCGGTTGAAGTTTACGTTAACTTCGTGATGAAGCGTCCCTAAATATTAAGAAACTTTACTAATCTAGAGGGCAACAGTCTTGCAGCTACAGCTTTTAGTGGCTGCGCTGCACAGATGTGTTACAGCTCTTATATGAGGACAGGATGTACTGTTTGCTAGGTCTAGAATATTGTTAGCATATCGAGGCTGTGTGCGCGATTTTAGCATCTAGGCAGCGAAATAGAACCAATTTGATCTGACAGCAAACAATACAAAGGTCCTTGAATCTATCGGCCATCTGGACATCTCAAGAAAGGGGAGTAGGATTGCAGATAGTGTGGGGCATGCAAGATTGCCTGCAAAGGTTGCAGCCTTCGGGTTAGCGAAGAATCGAATATTCAATTGGTGTATTACCTACATCGGCCATGGAAAATACGAGATTAAACTAGGAACCATCACAAGATAGAAGGGTTTAAATAGTAAGATGACAATGTCTCACCTCTTCCCAAGTTCTTGTATTAATTTACAGGGCGGCTGGTTTCTTTCCCAGCACGTCATAAGCTCTAGGATGCAGCCACCAGCGTCTTGCTGAAGGAAGTCTAGTGTGAAGCTAGGAGTAGCACCAGAGGCATGAGGAACTGGATTGATTGCTAGATGGGCCGGAAGTTTCAGAAGCACAATTCCATGAGCACGGTAGCAAATTTCGTGCTCATAAGGCTGCCCGTATCTAGGCGCCAGAGAGCTCTTAGGGTAGCCCAGGTGTGATCTTTTCATGTCTACAGATAATCTCGCATGAGCTGAGCAGGGGTCATAAGGTAGGCGAGTCACCAAGGTATTGAGATCCAAACAAGGTGAATTGAACCAGTGTATTGTAAGGTCTAAGGAGCGAGGAGCTCAGGGCTGACTCTATTTATCTCAGCTAGCTCAGACGTGAGGAGAGAACCGAGGACGCACAAACCACCATGCATATTGCTACTCTAAATAGAGTATGGCCTGGGGGTTAGCGGTTTCTGACCCCTGTCGGTAGCGTTTCTCTCCTCAGCCGTCTGAGGGACTTTTGTGATTTTTTCTATAAATAGGCCTATTTTAAAAGCATCACAATAGAATTAGATTTACAATATCTCTACTACTATATGTCTAAATAGGCTTAGAATTTAATAGAATGTAGAGACAAGCTGTAGCTATAAAATAGTATATTTTTTTACTAAATTCTAACTATTATTAGCAGAGAAAAATCTAAACGCGCGCAGAACTTTAACCTATCTATACCTTAATTTTAGATTTATAGTATTGCCCTCCTAACTAGAACTTAACAACTAGTAGACTAAATTCCCTAGGATTTTGCAGGATCCCTGACAGAGCTAGTCTGAGACAGCTCCTAGATCCTCAGAGTCCTCAGACAACAGCTGGTTGAGCTGCAGACATGAGGGCGATCGCGATGTCCCTAGCCTACTATCCAGCTTGACAACCAGTGGCCTAGATCTCCTAAAACTTTGCAGGCTCCCTAATAGAGCTAGTCTAAGA